AAACAAAATAATTAATAATCATGTTTCTATTGACCAAATTTGTTTTTTTTTCTGCAGGCTACCACATGGGGCTTTATTCGTACATCACCAGGCAGAGGTAGGAATAAGAAAGAACTTATACTTTTTATAATATCGAACTGGATCGAAACGTCTTAAAACACTTTAAAATGTGCCTTGCCTCCTATCATTTCACCCACAAAATATAGTCAATTCACTTTACAGTATATTCTGTGAAGTGCTTTGAGTTGTCTCAATTACGTGATAAGGCGCTCTATCAAATGAAAAAATTATTACCTCCCCACTTTTCAAGCCAACCTTAAAATTTATCTCTACGACTAACTGTGCTTCCAGTCATCTTTCACCCTCCTCAGGTATCCCCTACACTGCGTTCCCAGTCAGCCTGTGTGAAGCACCTGGAGATGTCCTACCGACGAGAAAAGTATATATATGAATATAAATTGTACTCTATGGTATAGTAATTCATGTCAGGCTTAGTGACTATTTATGTAGGGAAACATGACACATTTTGTGCAGTAAGGGCCCACCAACAGCTATGAGGTGAATGATGAATTAATGCAGAGGATTGCTGGTGAGGGTAACTTCTGTTTTGTATTTCATAGCATCATGAGATCGTTAACGTCTATCCGTGTAAGTATTGCAAAGAGATTTAAATTATGAAGCCATGAATATTTGTTTAATGATGCCTTGTCTCATCTTCTAAAGAAGCTCACTAGATAGCCCACGAATGCCTGTTCAAAGTTAAAGCTCCATGCGTTATGGAAGACTCCAGAGAGGGACTGAAAGAATTGCAAGTTGGCTACTTTACAATGAAGGCGTATAGTTGGCAACACCTTTTTGATCTTTGACACAACTAAGGAACTGTAAAGGCACTATATAAATGAAAGAATTATTATTTATTTGTCATGTAAACCTGGGTGGTCCAAACTTTTGGCTGCCGCTGGCCGGATTCCCTATTTGAGAAAAGTTTCCGGGCCGCATAAGCAACATTGTTAATATTATAAGCAATAGGCCTCAACTATCCTTCCTACCCCACATCTGAGCCATGTCCTGCTCTGCCTCCCCCATCTCCACAACATCACCTGGCTCCGCCGCTGTCTCACACGGTAGGCTGCCAACACCCTCACACACACATTCATTACATCCAGGCTCGACCACTCAAACTCCTTGCTTGTCGGCCTCCCCAACCCCTCCCTCCATAGGCTACAGATCATCCAACACTCTGCAGCCCATGTCTTCTTCCGCACCAAGCTCCGGGACCCTATCATCCTCATCCTCGCTCGACTCCACTGGCTTCCCATCACAGAGGATACAGTTCAAGATCCTGGCCCTCACCTTCAAAGTCCTCCATGCTTCCCCCTACCTCTGCCTCCTTGTTCCACCCTACCTCTACGACCTCCATACCCACTACCAACCTGCCCACTCCCTCCACTCAGCTGCTCTGGTCTGCTTCACGTCACTCACCTCACCTGCCCCACAATTGGCGGGCGGGCCTTCTGCCACTCTGCCCCCAACCTCTGGAACTTCATCATGCAGTCCATCCACCTCGCCCCCTCCCTTGCTTCCTTCAAGACCCGTCTCAAGACCCTCCTCTTCGACCATGCCTTCGGTCACCCTCCTTCCCCCCCACCCTTCAACCTCCCCGATCCCACCCCTGGCTCAGGTCCGAAACACTGATTGTCCAACGCCTTGGGACGTCCTCCTTACATGAAAAGTGCTATACAAATGTATTTTTGTTGTTATTATCCCCTTTCCCTTCCAGAAACATAACATTTACACAGCACCTTTTTCATGCTGGAAGGACATCTTGCCACTGTCGGCTGGGAACCTGAGCTGGGGTTGGGAACCAAGAGGTGGGATGGGGAGCGGAAAAGATGACCGAAAGAACGGTCAAAGAGTTAGGTCTTGACGTGCCTTGAAAGAAGGCAAAGAGTGAATGGAGGCACCCAAGCAATGGAACTCCAGAGAGCGGAGCAAAATGGCATTGGTGGAGCAGATGGGGGCGGAGCACATGAAGCAAGCTGGTGTTTGCTCTGCAAAGGGAGCCGCGCTCTCCTCTCTCAATTACTCTCTCTCTCCCCCTCTTTCTCAATACACACACATTCTCTCTGTCCCCTCTCAAACTCTCGCATTCACCCTCTCTCAATCTCCCTGCTCTCTCTCTGTGTTTCTTTCTCACTCCGTTACCCTCACATTCACTCCCTCACCCTCTCACTCTCTCTCTCTCCCCCCTCTCACACTCTCACCCTCTCAATGCTCTCTCCTTCTCTCAAGCACTCTCTCTGTCACTCCCCTTCCTTACCTCTCACACACATTCTCTGCCCCCCCTCTCCCCCCAATCCCTCTCTCTCCCAAACAGCCGCCCGGTTCACTATCAGCAGTGGCAGGAGCCGACGGTTGCTAAGGATGCGGTTGGCAAGGGACGCGCTTGTCTTCCTGCTGAACTACAGCAATGGCTGGTATTTTTTCCACTCTCCACGCTGCGTCCTCCCAACCACCGGCTCCTGCTGTTGCCCTAGGAGGACGTTCACCAGGGAGGGAGGGAGCAAAAGTTGGAATGATGTATATGTTCTCGACTGGCCAAAATCAACCGGCGTGCCGGAAGCAGCTCATGGGCCATCAATTGGACCATGTAAAGCTTGGGAAAAGAAAATGCTATTGGCTTTTCAAATTCACTCCCTCCACAGTCCATGCAAAACCTCTCTTATCGTGGATTATATCCAACCACTTAATTCTCCTGGGGAAAGCTTTGCTTATAAACTCCCCAAGACTGCAATTAAGCATATTTTTCACCACCATATCACCACTAGTCAAACCTGGTCTTGGTCCCTTTACACAGAACTCTCATCCTTAATCGCTGTCTCAAAAGATCAGTTTGTTCCATGGGGAATTTAATTTGTTCATCTCATTCAACACTGTTCTCCCTCCGCCTCGCTCCCTACATCTTCACTTTCAAAAAAAATTATAAAAAAACTCTTTTTGACTACCCTCCACTCAGCTCTGGCTCCATCCCTGTAAAAATATTAATAATCCATGCATTTGATACAGTGGCTTATCACATCTTCGAGACATCTTAAAGTGCCACACAAAGCGCTACACAGAATATACTGTAAAGTGAACTGACTGTATATTTTGTGGGAGAAACACAGCAGCCACGTTCGCACAGCAGTATCCCACAAATTGTCATGGAATTGAGTACCAAATTATTATTTTTATTTATTATTTTGAAGGTATTACTACCCCCATTGATCCATCAATTGACTAACAACTGGGTCCCAACTTACTGCTAGGTGAACAGAGGCATGTGGAGTAAGAAAACTTTCCCAAAGTTTTGCCCTACCGGGAATAGAACCCAGGTCCTCTCGCTTGCGAGACGAGTGCTCTAAGCACTGCTGCAGGACTCCACAGGACTGTAAAAGGCTTTGAGATGTTTTCTACCTGAAAGGTGTTATATAATTTGTTGCTGTTGATGACCAGATACTTGTCCAGTTGCAGAAAATGTGATATCACTTGTGATATTCAACACATCACACTTTGTGATTTAACCCCATTCAGATGCGTCAAGGTTTTGGTAACTCAGTCCAGTGATGGCGATTTGGACAGTCTTCAAAGTCACACCACATTAAAGAAGCAGACAAAAAGATGCATTCCATCCTCCCAACAAATACATACACATGTAAAGTAGGAAACCTAGAAATGTTGAGTTTAAAATGTATTGGTTTAATTGCCGGAAACAAACCTGGACATTTTAATGTGCAGCAAATTGTTAAAATAACAAATATGGGATTGCCATTTCCTGCAATTTGTACATCCATAAACGAAAATGTCAAGATGGCTAGCTAATTCCTCCAGAAAAAATTGCACCAAAGTTACGGAGTATTAAAATGTCATAACATCTTAGGGTTAAATCAAAATCAAATCATAATTGTTACATTTGATATAACATCTTACCACGGGATCAAGACATCTCAAAGTGTTTCACAAAACTGCGTTTTTGTAGGCAAATGCGGCAGCCAATTTGCAGACAGCATTGGCCCACAAACAGCCATGAAGTGATTGACAAATTTTATCTAGTTATTTGTATGGCACAATCATGGCATAGAGAGAAAGGATGCTAAATACAAAATTAAGTGAGGAAAGCCAGTATAACATTATTGAGATTCTCTCAGGAGGCCAACAAAGTCTCTATCCTCAAATACATTTTATACGCTGGTAATCAATCTGATTCTCTCTAATGAGTTCCCATGAGAACTCATATTAAATAAATCACCACTCAAAAAGAAAAGGAGAAAATGAGTGCAAAATGCTCTTTATTTTACAAGGTTTATGCAAGTAATATGCTAAATTTCTGCTTTGCTTTCATTTTATTGATTACATTTGAAAATTATTTTGTTAATCTAGAAATGTATTGATATTTGAATAGCACACAGCCCACAGTTAAACATCATTCTGAATTAATAAATACTTACCCCTTTGATTGTTCTTCGGTCACCTTAACCCCCCACCTCCAATCAAGCGCTTAGTCAGTTGTGAAGTCCTCCAAACATGAAAAGCGTTATAAATTCACTACACTAATGCCCTGTTTTCTGGACTTTCCAGGCTGCAGATTAACTATGTAGACCATGTCCTCTTCCTCACCAGTCTGTCACCCTTATCCTTGCTCGACTCCATTGGCTTCCCATCCTCTAGTGGATCAAAATCCCTCCACAGCCTCACCTCGCCCAATCTCCAAAGCCTCCTTCAACCCTACTGTCCCGTCCACGCCCTTCAATCAGAGAACACCTGCTTCACGTCCCCTATCCTATCCTCTCCACCATCAGCGGATAGGCTTTCAGCCATTCTCTCCCTGCTCTCTGGACCTCCAAATCCATCACTCCCTCCCTCACCTTTTTCAAGGCACGTGTCAAGTCACATCTCTTTGACCATGCTTTGTCTATCCTTCCTCTCCTCAGGCTCCCATCCCAATGTATTGTGTTGCTTACCTATCGGTTTATTCACGCCCAGGAAGCCAGCTTGTCCGAGAATTTTGAAAATTCGATGGGCTGGGAATATTCCTTCTTCTTCCCATTTATCAACAAAAGGATTGATTTCCTTCTCAATGATCTGTGAGAAACAGAGAGAACATTCCTTGGTTAACACTTTCAACAAAAACGTTCATTGATAATTAACACATCACACATTGCAATTTGCACACCATTCAAATGTGGCAAGCAGTCAGCAAATTGATATTCTCAGTGCAGTGATTGAGATTTTCACTGCCTTCTGAGTCATAACACATTGAGGTGTTAGAAAAGAAAGTACATCCCATGATCCCAGCGAATACAAGCACAATTTATACAATACAATTTACATTTATATAGTGCCTTTCACATCAGGAGGACATTTCAAAACGCTTGATAATGCTGGATAGCCAAGGGCTGCAGGTGGGAGCCAAGTACTGCGGGTAGGGGAAAGATATATGTTATTAACTATGCTCAAGTAGAAATTGGATATGAAGCGCTTACAAATGTGTTTATTTAATTCAGGGCAAAATGGGCAAAAGCTGGGAATTTAAATTTGCAAAACATTATTAAAATGTGGGATTGTCATTTTCTGTATTGTGTAAAATTTTGATTCTCATCAAGGAAAATATCAAGAAGGCAACAACAAAAAATTACATTTGTATAGCGCCTTTCAAGCTGAGCTAATTCTTCTTGAGAAGTCTGAAAGCAGAAACCTGCACATTCATAACTTTTGCAACAATGACGTATATTTTTGTGAAGATGGCAACTGCTGTTGGGGTATACCCCTCTCTCTAACCTCATGTAATTATTATTCGTGAGCCAATAGATTGCATATCAGCAATATTACTGTAGGTACCTCCAGTGGCGCGGCGCATACTACAACTGGCCTCAGTTTGCTGAGTGGAAAATCCACTTGGAAAATCCAGTCTGGATTTCTATATCTTTAATCTCTACTACTTGAAATAAGATGTTCAAGCATAGGCTTGGTAAGATTCAGATTATTTATACTAATTTTATTGTTTTATTCTAGCTATGCAAACTATGGAACATGATAACAGCATTCAATCCCGTTCTTACTTGATGTAGACTTTCCAGTTAGGGAATACTTGAAATTGATCAGGAAAGCCTTATCTTTCTGGCTTATGTCCTCCCACTTCCAGTGACCTCAATCCATAATGCTGCCTATGTCAATGTGGCAATATTACCCTAATTAAAGTGTTTAGCTTGATTGAAGTATTTAGTCCAACACAGATCGGAGTGATAAATCCTGCCTAAGCATCTTAAGCAGTTGTAGAAAAGTCAACAAAATATGTTTGCCAATTTCTGCTACATTATACTGCTTGAAACTGCTGACACATTTTTTCTCTAATCATAAATATTTTCTTGAGTTCAGATGCATTGCTATATATTGCTATGAATCTCTTTGAACCATTATAACCAACATATATGGTGCATGTACAATAGGTGGAATACTCAGTGGGAGGCTGCTGAAGATCTCTTTAGCACTATAGAGCCAAGCTCAATTTCTAGTTTCAGCTGACATCATTCTCAGACTTCTCCCACAAGATCGGTTATCTGGGACGAGGGAAACAAAATTGATCAGGAAGGAGACGCTCTACTTGTCCTCAAATGTGCCCAAAGTAGCAGCAGTATTAATACTCATGCAAATATCTGAAGCTGAACAATCCATTGTCCCCTCTTCCTTCTATCAACCCAAGCATGAGAAAAATCAACATTATTATTTATAATAATAATCCTTGCATTTTGTAAAGCCCTTTTCATCTCAGGAGAATGTCTCAATTGCTTCGCAGAATTTACTGTAAAGATTAGTGATGTTTGTCGACAAAAGTAACAGCCTATCTATGCACACCAATGTCCCACAATCAGCCATGAAGTGAATGACAATTTTTTTTATTTGGCGGATTGTGGTCCAGGACACCAGAAGAAGCTCCCTTCTCTTTTCAAATAGTGTAACAGAAACAAAGCTTAACATGCATAAATATCCCACATCACTGATCAGAACATTTGGGCTCATGTGGCGAGTATTAATTTTTAGCTAATAAGATCACAAGATTGGTTTGGATGAAGAAGACACTTCGATCCATCTGATGTCATCCCATCAATCTTCTGATCCCACTTTCGATTATCTTTCCCTTCCCCACTCTCCTTGGTTTCCACCCCCAGTTCGCCCAGTCAACATTGTTAAGAACTTGAAGGTATCCTTCTGGCGTGAAAGGTGTCTATATAAGTATACATTGTATCCCTCCAGAATACCAAACCTCCTTTCAAGCAACAAGGGAGTCCAGTGTACTGGCATCAACCACCCTTCCTGGCAATGTATTCCAGTCACTGATTATCCTCTGAGTAAAGATAAACTTCCTGGTATCTGTCCTGAAACTGTCCTTTGCAACTCTGAACCTATGTCCTCTTGTTCTGCTGTCTTGATGCATTCTAAAGTATTGTTCTGGTTTACTTTTTCCAATTCCATTTAAAATTGTATTTTGTATGTGATTCTTTAGTTTCAAAAAAAACATTCTGGATATACTTTTTATTACCACAAAAATGAACACCAGCAGCTCCTTACCACCATTTTACCCAATATAATTCTGCATACAACATGCAGTCCTGTGCAAATACAATTCCAGTATTTTTCCAGTTACATCATTAATGCAATGTTTTGGTGAGCATTCCACAATGAATGGCCATTCTCCATGCATGGATCATCGCCACGCCAACTGCTTTCGAAGGGATGAGGGGGAATTTTCACTCGCATTACAAAAACATCCTGCAGGATTTATTTTATTTGTTCAAAATAACAAACGCGGATGTTATCAAAACAAATGTGGATGAGTGGAAGTGACATCAATGAAATTGGTGTAATCTCAAGCACAGATGAATAGCATAAGACACAAATGATTCCTTTCATTCATTTCAGTATGTTTGAAGCCTTTACGTCTGGTAATATAGGATGACCCAAAACAAACTATCATATAGAACAATACTTTTTACATCTCGCTGTCAGTGATGTAACATTGTTAACACATTTGAAAATATTATTCAGACAATAACCAGCACTACAGATGAGATCACTCTGAACAGTTCTAACCTACCAGGATACAGAAAAAAGGTTGGCTGTTTTGTCATTTCCTTGACAACACAGTTTTGTGTGCACAACAAATCATGCAGCTCACTCTAAATGTCACCTGGAATGGTTTTAGTAAAACCTCAGAACTTTCACATTGTGCAAGCAAGATGACAGTGCAGACATCCTGAAATGGTAACCTATAAAAATTGTTTGCTGAAATGTTTGTTCCCTGCTACCAGTGGCTAATGTCCCCCTTCAAGTCCTTCCCGATGAACCAGACTGGCTGGTGTACTATCAGCAATGCCCTGGAGTGCTGCAGACCCACCAGGATCAACTTGATTCTCATATTCCAATCTGGAGCCAACTAAACCCCAAGGAGACTGACACTTATGCCTCCTCTCACATTCCCGGAGGACAGAATTATAAAATCAGAAAGCAGAGAATGGGTAAAAGCCAACCAGAACATCAAGTTACCTCCTCCACAGATGATATACAATCTACCCAATCATGAACTCTACTCCATCCATTTATTCTCCCGAGGAAAGTTCAGCGAACACACTGACCTGACCCACAAGGGTAATCAAACAAAATTCAAGATCATCTGTTCATCACACATAAACACTCCCATTCTCTTGTCCACGGATTTACTTGACCCCAGCAGCACAGACACCATGGCATTCCATGAATTTTGATCATCTGTCCTCATTTTCATCCCTATTAATTCCAGTTCTTTCACGCTGGATATTTAGCTTATTTTCAAAACGTTCAAATGGCACAATATTAAACCTCTTTTGCCAGGGTTCTGTTTCACTTCCATTTCCCTGTGGGAAACAAACATCTGGTTTGTTACAAGAGGCTTGTTACATTTTCACTTGTATCATCTATTCAATACCCAAAACATTGCTTGCAACTCCTGTAGCTCAGTGGTTAGAGCACTCGCTTTGCAAGCGAGAGACCTGAGTTCAATTCCAGGCAGAGGGCGAAACCTTGGGCAAGTTTCCTTACTCCACACAGAGCCTAATAATAATCCCTCCAAAACCAAAATCAATAATAAAATTGGCATTTTCAATCTACGACTGTTTGTGGGACATTGCTGTGCGCAATTGGCTGCCGTGTTCGCCCACAAATTTACAGCCAATTCACTTTACAGTGTGTTCTGTGAAGCGCTTTGGGACATCCTTCCGATGTGAAAAGCGCTATATAAAATGCAAGGATTATTATTATTATTATATTATTATCGACATTATCTATAAGTAACATAATGTAAATATTTGTATATATTTGAAGTACTGCGGGTAAGTAGCATTAATGTTTAAAAACCTGCTTCAATCCTCCCAACCCGACTGCTCCCGTCACTCAGCAAACACTGGCTGCTTTAGGTCCCCCGTCCTATCCGCCCCACCATTCTGCCCCGACTTTTTGGAACTCAATCCCAGAATCCCACCAATTTGCTCCTTCCCTCCCCTCTTTCAAGCTAGGTTTCAAAATACATCACTCTTCGGTCATCTTTGGCCTCCTTACCTGACGTTCCATGCGCTAAGTTCTCATGTAGAAAGCCATGCAGTGTGTCCCAGAAGCAGGATTGGTGGGCAATGTTTTCACAGACCCATGGGGTCTGAGTTTATGGACCCAAACCCATTCTAATTCCAAACCCATTATTGCCCCTTATATTGCGCCGGCTTCATCTTCTCACAACACTAATAGACCAGCACTCAAACGTGCAGCAAATCTATCATTGTGACCGTCTCCATGCACTAATTGCTTAGAGCAGGTCTGCCAGCTTGCACAGGAAAATATCTAAAATGGAATAAAGCTTCTCTCATGAACTAAACAATACATATTTACACTAGGGAATGACTGACACTGTAATCTCACCTTGTGGCTCAGTTAATGATCACCCGCTGCTTCTGGCAATGTCAGAACCCTTCATGTCAGGAGGACATCCCAAAGTGTTTCACAAGATATATTGTAAAGTGCAGTAACTGTGTATTTTAGGTGAAGTACGACACCTCTTG